ACCAGGGCATGCACAGTCAAGAACAGGAACTAGCCCACAGATGGGGTGGCTGAATTAAATGAAGTAGAACTGTTAGAAGATAAATTAATCTGCTAAACAATATAAAATTTACTACGTGCTTGAATATATCCTAAAGTCAATGCATGAACCAAACGTGACTTAAACCACTAATTCTAAAGGAGAACAAGCAGCTTTGGCCTGTCTCCACTAATAAACTTTGAATAGCAGAAAAAAACTGGTATTCTTATATGGTCCTGAGACTACTATATGAGTGCTTAATCTTTTTTAGATATGGATTAAGCAACACGCTATATGTCTTAGGATAATGAGGGAAGAATTAAAAAGGATTTTTTGTTTGCTTTTGAGGCAGGCAGAAAATGCAGAAGGAATTAAATATGATGAAGAATGAGAACAATGTGGACAATACACAGGCATCTCCCTTGTCACGCTGCCTGCAGCCACTAGGCCCTGTCGAAAAGCCTCACAGAACTGTACCACTCAGTGAAGAGTTTGAATCACAACTTGAACAGTTTCAGTATGGTCCTTCCCTAGGGGATATAGAAACCTTCCATGGATCCTTGGAAGGAGGGTCCCGAAAACGCAAAAGCATGCCCACAAAAATGCCTCCTACTGTCACTCCAGAAGATCCCACCTCACCTTCACACAGATCTGAAGACAACAATGTAGGCTCTCCCAGTCTTCCTTTGATGTTTCAACAATCCCCACAGCCCAAGTACAGCTCCCAAATGATAGACTTGTGTAACCTGGGCTTTCAGTTCTACAGGACTCTGGAGCACTTTGCAGCAAAGCCCATTAAACAAGAATCAGTAAAGCCTAGTATGATGTGGCCTAACACACCTGCTTTTGTGCAGTCTCCTTACTCTTATTATCCAAAAGTTCATCCTGGCCTGATGTTTCCTTTTATTGTCCCCTCAAATTTTCATATCAGGAATCCCTTCCAAATGAAAAGTCCACCAGAACCATCATTCAGGAGGACTGAAGCGAGGGAAAATGGTGAAAACAAACAAAAGGTGGAAAGAGTAGATGTCAATCTCCAAATTGATGACAGCTATTATGTGGATGTTGGGGGTGAACAGAAGCGCTGGCAGTGCCCAATGTGTGAGAAGTCCTACACATCCAAGTATAATCTTGTCACCCATATTTTGGGACACAGTGGTATCAAACCTCATGCTTGCTCTCGGTGTGGCAAGCTTTTCAAGCAACTGAGTCACTTGCACACACATATGTTAACACATCAGGGCACTAGACCGCATAAATGTCAGGTGTGTCACAAAGCTTTCACCCAAACCAGTCATCTTAAAAGACATATGATGCAACATAGTGACATCAAACCCTACAACTGTAGAATATGTGGCAGAGGTTTTGCCTACCCAAGTGAGCTGAAAGCACACGAATCCAAGCATGAGAGTGGCAGAGAGAATATTTGTGTGGAGTGCGGTCTAGACTTTCCAACTCTTGCTCAGCTGAAGAGACATTTAACAACCCATCGTGGTCCTATCCAGTACAATTGCACAGAATGTGATAAAACTTTTCAATATCCAAGTCAGCTGCAAAATCACATGATGAAGCACAAAGACATCCGTCCATACATCTGCACAGAATGTGGCATGGAGTTTGTGCAGCCCCACCATCTTAAACAACACTCTTTGACCCATAAGGTAAGTCCCGAAAGGTTATATCTACCCCTGCTCTGAAGGCCAACACCAGCCCTGGGCACATAAATCCTCACAAGAACATAAGTAAGGTATAGGCCCTTAGAATAGCTCTGTGTATGGATGTGTTTAAGAAAGCAAGCTGTAATATCGGCAATAAGAGAAACCAGCTCATGTGTTAAGGAAGGCCATGTCAGAAAGTCTTACAATAACCTGAGAGTTCAGTCAAGCCATTTGCATTGCTGACCAAAAATAAAATTATACCCTCTATTTCAGCTTGTTTTTATCTCCAGCACAACCCTTTATTTAAAATCTTAGTTTTGTGTAATGTTCCTTTATCAGTTAACATTCCACAGATTTTTTTCTATTGAAAAATATAACTTAGTCCTCTGCTTAACTTAACTGGGTATTTAGTTTATATGTACTGGGGTGCATCTATGAATAAGTCTATAAAACATATTATTGCTTGGCAGACTCAGAATAGCCAGTACTGCACCATTATCCTGTTGTCCTGGGGTAACTGCTTATCAATAAGAGAACTGGGCAAACAGAACCTGATCCAGAATGTAGCCTCAAATCACAGAGCTACATATCTAAAACTATCATTTGTGTCCACAGGTAAAAGCTTTACAATTAATTGTGTACAAACAATTAATTTGAATGTAGATACAAAACTATTGGCATGAAAGCAAAAGCTAAGGTGAGCCCTCTTTATATGCATAGTCAATTGGATCAATAGACTTAGATGGCACTTACAGCTTATTACTTTTCCCTACCTGCCTTACTGAGGTAAGGTAGATTCATTAAGGTAGTTAGGCATGTAACTTCCATGTCTTTTAATTAGTGGAAGACACCTAAATACTTTTGATCTAGGTCTTAGGCCATATCCAGGTCAAAGGAGGCGTGCCTTTTCTTTCAGCATTCTGACTGGATTATATGGATGGCACTTGAGATGCCCTGCAAATACCAACTGCAACTGAATAATTCATTTACGGTTCAGTCAAAAGCCCATTGGAGTGTTGTTCCATTGGCTACATGGAAAGGGATCAGGCTCCAAGACAAGTGTGTATGCCTCAGTTTACTCCAGACCTACTCCTTGTTCTATAACATTAAAAAAATTCAGGCATTTTCTGGAGATTAGTGCAGAAATGGTCAGTAATACCTATGAAATGTCCAATTCCAATTATACTGTTGCTTAATTACATGATTCTTCTGCTTCTTACAGAAATTCTGTAGGATTTTTTTCTATATTATCTTCAAAATACAGGCATACTCTTTGTTATATAGAGCTCTTTCCTTTAGACACTGGAATCAACCAGTGCTAGACTTCTACAGGCATTGCTCAGAACATTAGTTACCATGACCCAATATGCTACATTATGTCATCCTTAACATACACACATTTGGCCAACATGCAGTTTTTATTTAAATTGTAACTGTGGGATAGTGGAGCTTTTCCATCATTGAAGCTTCTCAGTAGATGTACTGATGGCAGTGAAATTCATTATTTCTTAATCCCAGTTACACAGTAGAGTTACTTTTTTCTTCCCTTAGATTTGTATTTACCTGTGGGGAAAAAGTATCCACGTATCTACTACTGGAACTAGTAATATTAAAAAGAAAAGAATCTATGTAATTGCTTTCCTAGCATAGGTTGTTTAGTGTGCTGAAAGTAAAACAACTGAAGAAGTCATACCTAGTTAGTTTTTTGATTCTTCATTTCTTTCCAGGGTGTAAAGGAGCATAAATGTGGTATTTGTGGTCGGGAGTTTACCCTGCTGGCCAATATGAAGAGGCATGTGCTGATCCATACCAATATCAGAGCCTATCAGTGTCACCTTTGCTTCAAGAGCTTTGTGCAGAAACAGACTCTCAAGGCACACATGATTGTTCACTCTGATGTCAAACCCTTTAAATGCAAGGTAAGGATGTCTCATGATGTCTTGGGGGTTCACCGTCACCAAATATTCCAAACATTTCTCCACATATGGCAGGATATAATTATATTAACAAAACCTACATTTGTTAAAACACTTTAAAATCACTTGTAAAGTCTGTTGGGTTAATTTTTGTGTTTGTTTTCTTAATCAAAGTAGTTTCAGTATAGGTATAACAGCCAAATGAGGCAGAGGAACATCCAAATTTTTTTCATTTCCCCTCTTCAGAATTATCAGTATTCTTAACACTGGGGTTATATTTTTTCTGAAAGAGAACTTAGCTTGATGATGATAAAGTTATCTGACAGTAAGCTAGCACATTTCATCCAAACAGAAGTCAAAGTGTTTAAGAACCTAATATACCAAGTACACTTAAGGTGTATCTGTGCATAGCGTGAGGAGATACAGAAACATCACAGCTTCAGTATTGCACAACCCAACAACAGCAGTTCAGGCGGGACATAAAAACACCACAGCAAAGC